TGTCGGTGTTGCTGTTGCTGGCGCCGACAAGGTTCAATGGGGCTGGAACGGCGGCAAGGGTCTCGGTGCCATTTTCGCTGGTCTTGGTATGGCGCCTGCCATCTCGGGCTGCTTCGGTGCCATCATCTTCAGTCTCATCAAGTTCGTGGTTCACATTCGCAAGAACCCCGTGCCCTGGGCAGTTTGGACGTCGCCTTTCTTCTTCCTCATTGCCGGCACTATCTGCACGCTCTCCATTGTCTATAAGGGCTCTCCTAACCTTGGTCTGAGCAAGAAGCCTGCGTGGTACATTGCCGCCGTCACCATGGGAACTGGTGGTGGCCTTTGCCTGCTCGCCGCTCTCTTCTTCGTCCCCTTCGTCCACGCCAAGGTCATCAAGAAGGACTACACCATCAAGTGGTACCACTTCGTCTACGGCCCTCTTCTCTTCAAGCGCCCCGCTCCTGCCGATGCTGAGAAGGCCAAGGTTCCCAACTACGCCGTCGTCCAGGAGGATGAGCATGAACAGACTCTTCCTTCGCACGAGTCTGTGAAGTCTTCCGAGTCTGGCGATGAGCCCCTCAAGGAGACCTACGAGAAGGAGACCCATGTTCCCCAGGAGAGGTCCCTGGCTGCTGCTGAGATTGGCCAGGGCCCTACTTACAAGCAACTCCAGGCTGAGGGCGAGGCCAAGTTGCACGCAAAGATGATGAAGAAGCGTGGTCCTCTCGGCTGGGCCATGCGTACCCTTCGCGATAACCCAATGGGTGCTGGTCAGATCTACGAGTTCCACAACATGAAGATCGCCCTCAAGCGTATTCCCGCCATGATCACTGTTGGTGCTCTCTACGGTCTTCACTACGATATCCACGCTGCGCAGACTGGCGTCGCCGGTACCCCCGAGGGTGAGCGCATGAAGCGTGTGTATGCCAGCGCCAAGAAGTACCCCAACGAGGTCGAACACACCTACTCTTTCGTCCAGATCATCACTGCTTGCACTGCTTCTTTCGCCCATGGCGCTAACGATATCGGAAACTCTGTTGGTCCCTGGGCTGTCATTTACTCTGCCTGGAGTACCGGTGACGCTGCCGCCGCTAAGGCCCCTGTCCCTGTCTGGCAGCTTGCCGTTCTGTCCGCCACTATTTCTCTTGGTCTCATTACATACGGCTACAACATCATGAAGGGTGAGTCTTATTTAAATCAACCTCTAGATATTCACGGCACTAACAGACAACAGTCATGGGTAACAAGATCACCTACCATTCCCCCAGTCGTGGTTCTTCCATGGAAATGGGCGCTGCCATTACTGTCCTTGTCTTCTCCCAGTACTCTCTACCCGTTTCCACCTCCATGTGCATCACTGGTGCCACGGTCGGTGTCGGTCTGTGCAATGGTACTCTGAAGGCCGTCAACTTCCAGCGTGTTGGTCTCTTGGTCTTCTCTTGGATCATGACAATCCCCGTCGCCGGCACTCTTGGCGGTGTCCTCATGGGCCTTTTCCTTAACGCTCCTCACTTCTAAGCGCAATCAATCTTCCTCCGGTGGGGGCTTTCATTTGATACCATCTTTACTAGACACATAATGTACATGAACAAAAAGGGGGCTCGGCACGGCATACATATAAAGGCGGGTGGTTTGTCAGTAGCATCAATACCACAATTTTGACAACTATAATCTTTGCAGCCTGGCCAAGGACTTGGCGTAGTCTGGACGTAACTGAGTGAAATATTTGAAAGCGCAATCTTGGCGAAGAGCGTTTGAGAAAGAATCCCACCGGGGCCGGAGCGGGTGCCCTTCCGCGGCCCGTCCCACTCTCAAAGCCAAGCCAAGCCGGACATGTGACATGTTCATACAACAGGAAAATAGTGATGTAGCCTTCATCTTCGGAGCTTTCTTGGCAGAAACAGGCTATCACCCTGTGGTAGATCATGATGTCTACGTAGACGATACATGGGATTAGCAGAGATGTGGCACACGGTACGGAGCACAGTTGGTACACTTAATCGGACTGAACACGTTCCCAATCTATCCCCAACAAACTTGGCGAAACCTAAAGTCAGCTGGTTGAAACAGAAGACCAGATATGGATAGCTTCTCATTTCGTGATTGGTTGCTGAAATTGAAGTTGTCAAGACGCCGTGGGGTAGCGCCAAGCTTTTGTTGTGGCTATGCGAGCGTGGCATCGCCCATTACCTTGACTGTCCATGAGGATTCCAAGATTACACATTGGCACAGTGAGGGCGAGCCTTGAAGAGGGAGGTAGCATGGCAGCTGAAGTCGGCAATTGATCGCGTGATCAACAGTAATGCTTCAGCTTGGCGCTCTCAAAGAGCTGTACACTAGGAACCACCTACTCACTCGTCACAGTCTGAGTGGTTCTATTCTGAAACTCTGATTGACAGGACGAACGAGATACGAAGCTCAAGTGATTAACTCACTCATGCCTAGACCGTCTACTTGCACTGTTGTAATTGGCAGATTAGAAATGTGGCGTGCTGAGAATCCAGAAGACTGTTTCCGATTCGCTGTCCAAAGTACCTCAAGGTAGCCAAACAAGCCAAGTCACCGCGGAGGGGAACATCCAAGGGAATTTAGCCATCTCATGAAGACTAAAGATCGAGGCTATTTTGGGGGAAAAGCTGCATTATTCTTGTCTGACCCTGGGGTTTATCACCAAAACCTAATGATGTAATGAAGATCCTCGTTACAAGCAGAGTCTACTGCATCGCATCTGCGCCAATGGTTTCTATGCAACTCTTACTTCACGGTTTATCAATTATTATGAGCGCAGGCCTTATCATATGAATCTTGAGTTCTAGTGTCGTTGGGTATTGGAATATGAAGCAGTGAAAAGATTCTCTTGGTGAATGCAGTTGAATGCAGTCGACTGGGATTATCTCCAGTCTTCAGCATGGAATGAGATTAAAAGATCAAGTTCTAAAGCCATCTCAATAGATGCTGACTATCTCATAATCTCTTATCCCCAATAACCCATCAGTCACAAAACGTGCAAAGACCTCGTCCTTCCAACGTTTTTACGACGTTTGGAAAGACAAAACAGAACTTTCCCGATATTACTATGTATTTTCTTCCTTATATATTTGCGTATAGCTTGTGATAAGGCTGGATGATGCCTTGTCTGTGTAGAGTTTAATAATTCAAGCATAGAGTGTGGGCCGCGGCCAAGGCGGCCCGTAACACAAATTATTGAAACCGTTGACTGCTCGACTTTGCAACCTTGAACAGCTTCGAGAGAAAGATCTTCTTTGGAGTGTCAATTCAAGTAAGGTATTCTATATTGTGAAGTATTCTATATTATGAAGTATTCTATATTACTGCTCCTTTGATGGCGTGCATGCCCTCACCCCGATGTCTATTATCGTGTGGCAGCGTAGCCCACTGGCTTGAGTTTACCTGCGTGAAACTCAATCTGACATATCTCATTTATAGGTATTTCATACTCTGTAGGGGAATACCATAGATTATCTACTTGGTACTATCAACTCACAAAAGTCACCGCGGAGAGCGGGTGTTGGTACGTGTTGAAATAGGAGAGAGAACCTTTCAGTTGGCCGACTCTGTGCATTTGCCGAGGAAGCAAAGACCATGTTGCCCAAGGGGGCTTTCATTAAGTAGCTACGAAGGTCAGACTTGGTACACCACAATGAAGTCAAAGAGTTCGATCAAGTCCAACTATGGCCTAGCCTTCTCGAACCATTGGTCACTTTTAAGGCTAAAGAGTCACAAGCAAAACTTCATGCAAACAGGAACGAAGTCATCGAGCGTTCATGCGGAAGTCCAACGGTCTGGCCCCGGTTTATGCCCCAGAGCAGAAACGCGGAAACATGGGCCCCCATGCTCGAAACAGCAATTTTCGTATTTTATACGAGAAAAAGACGAAATCCGATTGGCAGCACTGTCGGCCCCTCGCCAGTCCGCTAGACCGCTCGCAGCAGGGGACCAGTTGAATTCGGCGGGGAGCTTCGCCGAGGCATGCAAGCTGTGAAACAGCTGCAGCTGACGAGTGACGAAGTGACGAATCCGACTTTTGTCCCGACAGAACTACTGCATGCAACAAAGTTACAACTATTAATTAATCTTCCACTCGATCTCGTGCGGGATCCTTGCAGGATATAGGATTCTCAAGGAATAGATTCACAATCGATTGTGTAAACGCCTTTGGATCTCGACTCGAATAACTTCTAACAATGCCAGCCGGAATCGCCCAACTATTATCCCTTGCTCCCGGAGGACCCGGACCCCAGGCCCCTCTCGGAGCTTTACACCCAAGGGTGGGGGCTTCCAGCACAAGCATCGATCCTAACCCATGCGCCGCCGCGACATTTTCGGCGCCATCGCTGCTAGGAGCAAATTTTATTTCCTTGGAAGCCTCTCTGGTCACAAACTTCAGCGGGCCAGTACCTGCAGAGTGGAGATTCTCTCAACCTGCCGTCGAAATACACAATGCCTCCTTCTGCAATATCACCGTGTCTTACACTCACCCTGGCCATAGTGACGTTGTCGATGTCGAGACCTGGCTGCCATCCAAGGATTGGAACGGGAGACTCCAAGCTGTCGGAGGTGGGGGGTGGCGTGCTGGCAGAATGCTTCTCAGTTATACGACTATGGCCGGTGCTATCGCAGATGGCTATGCTACGGTAACCACTGATTCTGGACTTGGAGACGCCATGGGGCCTAACTCGTGGGCTCTGGTAAGTCCAGGTAACTCAAATCTGTACGCATTGCAGGATCTTGGGTCGCAGACTTTGTATGACGAGGTAAGTGGACATCTTTAGCCGTGTTGAGGCACAGGCTTCGCTAATACGTTGGAACCTAAGGCAATCATCGCCAAGCACCTCATTGAAAATTACTACGGCAGGGAGCCTTCATATTCGTACTGGAATGGTTGTTCCCAAGGAGGTCGTCAGGGTGCGGCACTTGCCCAGCGGTATCCGTCGGTCTACGACGGAATCATCGCAGCAGCCCCAGCGATTAATTGGGCCGGGGTCCTCATCAACACCATGTGGCCGAGGGTCTATATGGACGTCACTGAGCAGTATCCTCACCCTTGCGAGCTGCAACAGCTCACTGCGCTTGCTGTTTCTGCTTGCGATGGGCTTGATGGAGTTAAGGATGGACTTATCGCCGACACAAATGCCTGCAAGAGCATATTTGATCCTCACGCCTACGTCGGATCAGAGTTCCCATGCCCATTGACGGGAAAGTCGGCCAAAATCAGCGCCACGGCAGCCGCTGTAGCGAATGCGATGTGGACGGGCCCTTTCACGGCTGAAGGCGAACCAACATACCTGTATGGTTTGGAAATGGGCACCGATCTAGTGTTTGGTGCTCAAACTAGCTGTACAGAAGATGGGAAGTGTACGGGAGTTCCCAACGCCGCTGTCACAGTGTTGTTGGCCTACTTTATTGGCAAAGATCCCGCGATAACTACCACTAAAATATCTTTCAAGGAGTTGGAGAGAGCATACCACTCTTTCAGACAACAGTATGATGCTTACCTAGGGACTGATGACCCAGACCTCTCATCTTTCCGCAATGCTGGAGGCAAGATGATCACTTTTCATGGCTTGGTAAGTCTCCAGAGATCATAACTATTACATGTACAGCCCCCATGTACCTGTCAGTACGGACTAACACAGCCTAAGGCCGATCCGACTATTCCGCCGAACAACACACTGAACTATTATAAGGACGTTCTGAATCATCAAGATGATGCACAAGACTTCTATAGATATTTTCCCGTCCCTGGACTGGGGCACTGCTGGGGAGGCCCCGGTGGCGGCCAGCCCATCGCGTTATTTGATCAGTTAAGGTCTTGGGTCGAGAACGGGACGGCCCCTGAAAGCTCTCCAGTGACCATCACAAAGCCGGACAATACTCATGAGAGGCAGATTATTTGCCCGTTCCCAAAGAAGGCAGTATACAACAAGACGACGGCTGGAGACCCGGCAGGCTGGTCATGCGCTGTATGAAGAAGTCGGTGGGCTCGTCGGGATAAAGAAGAGTTATGAGAGTCCTTTATCGGATGGACTTCACATATTGACCTTAGGCTTCAGCTTCAGAATTTAAATTGTCCTGCTGTATGTACACTCCATGTTGCACTCATACAGGCGCGTATGTATAGATCCTAGCGTAAAATACGAAGACGAGATAATATAATTTAGTAATCAGCCTCCTGCATCAATAGCGAGTCATCACGAACGCATCCTGAAGTGCTGAATACCCCAAGAGGTCAAGCCAGGTATGGCCAGAAGGGGGCGCTACGGTCCACTGAGGCAGTGCTAGGCAGGAGAGTTCATAGTGCCCCGTAGGGCCTTAATCAGTGGCACCCCATGTGGCCCCCCTTGAATCAATCCACCATCCTAACTTCAACGCCCCCTCCCCCTTCCTCACTCATAAGAGAAAAGTCTTCAAGAAGCCTCGAGACCCGCCAGTCATTCACATGTAGCTTGCTCACCTTAGATGGCAGCTAAGCTTAGGATACGTCAACAGTAATGAGCGAAGCGGACGCGAAGAGTGCAAAACACGGAGATCCTGGCTGTACATGTACGACATGCCACGTTACAAAGAGGCGATCACATAAGAAGTCCCGTAATGGGTGCAAAACCTGCAAGAGAAGAAGAATAAAGGTATGAAATGTGAGCCTGACCTTCAACTTTGATACTAAATCATACACCAGTGTGATGAAGCCAAGCCCCAATGTGGGCAATGCTCGAAAGCTATCATAATCTGCGACTTTGCCGCTTCAGCATCATTCACAGACCTCGTTCCAACTCATGATATTAACGTCGAGAACGTTTCTCATGAAAACTCGCGGAGAAGGGGGAGACCGCGGAAAGCTTGGGATACGGCATCCAAAGGGCTTAGTCCCCAAGAACTCTTCGAATCACCCGATAGCCTGATATCCAGGTCAACCGACACAGCTCTCGTAGTCACCCAGAGCGGGGAGCAGCAGGGACAAGTAGCCTCGGATCCTCCTTGGATATGGACCGTAGATGATCTCGAGTTGCAGCACCACTTCTTGACATCTGACGATCTTACGCATTCAAATTCGCGGCTCTGGCGTGAGAAAGTCCCCCGTCTTGCCTTCACCCACCATTACGTCCTACATCTGCTTCTCGCAGTCTCTGCACTACACTTATCCAAAGAGAAACAGGACTCTACGGAGTTATCTAGATACGAGCAACTCGCCGACACCCACTACGCCATAGGCCTACGCCAAGTGATGGCCATTATGCCCACATCGAATAAAGACTATGCTGGAGCGCTTTACATATCCACTACGCTTGTTTGTGCATATGCATTCGCAAAGAAGCCAAGCCCAGAGCACCTCTTGATAGTCTCAGAGGGAGAAGAAGTGGCATGGTTCGAATTGCTTAGGGGCGTTCGAATCGTTGTTACAACAATGGGATGGGACGCCATTTACGCCGGAGTCCTAGGTCCTCTTCCGGCTGCTGATGACGAAACGTCACTCCCAAAACGAGGTCCCACAACCCGACCAGTCCAATGGGAGCCTGCCTTGAGCAGTCTTGCAGACTTGATTAGAAGCTCTGGCGATGCAGAAACGTCTGTTTACTTGGAACTGGTTCAACGCGTTTCGTCTTGCTTTGAGACAACTTTTGGTACAACTGCGAGGCCAAGACTTGATTGTAACGGCAAGATGGAGGTCATTATCGGTTGCATTTATCGTATCGATGATGATTTCGTGCTTTGTCTAAAACACAAGAGGCCCTTTGCACTTCTCGTCCTGGCACACTTTGTTGTCTTGCTCAAGTCACTCGAATGGATGTGGTACATAAAGGGGTGGGCAAGCCACATACTTCACGGCATTGCACTCATTTTGGGGCCTCAATTTCGACAACATTTGCGATGGCCAAGAGAAGAAATTGAGAGGCTTGGCAAGGATCGAGATCATCTCACTAAGGGAGAAACAGTATAAAGCCAGTTTAGGTCTTCACTGTCAGTCTTATTTGTTTCTCAGAAGCATCATAATGGTGGATGTCTGGTACGCGCCACCGGGATGATTTATTCTGTTACAAAAGAACCTTGTGACCAGGCACACCTCCTGTTATGAGATAGCGCGCAGTTGGTCCATAGTCGAGTCTACCCAGTTGCAGGAGACTTTTGAACGCCCCGCTTCGTGACTTGACGAAAGCCCCTGCTTTGCTGCTCAAATCAATAGTTGGAGCGTAAGCGCCGGACTTCGCAAGACAACTTGGATTTCCCTTGCATGAAATCGGCTGCCCGGATCGATCCGACCCAGGTATCATATCATTTGGCTTCAGTGATTCAGCCTTATCAACATGTTGCTCCCACACTTGCGCTGTCACAACCATCCAGTCATCTCATATTTCTGATTCGCCCAAAACTCCAACATTCTTCGGGGTTCGGCTGAGCCACATTGGCACTTCGCCCCCGATTCAGCTCCGGCCCAACATCACCTTCGATTGGGCAACTGCCTCGAGATGGTGTGAGCGTCAGCGTGATTTTTGAGGATAAACGGGATCTTTTGAATCCTGAAAGGGTAAAGGCCCCAGTGGCAGACAAGCGTGATGTCTTGACTGTCAGCATGCAACTTTCAGGTGAGATCACTAGTTAGAAACCGCAGAGCGACCTTGCGTTGCTGGCAGTCAGTCATCTGGGCTCTTGCTGTCATGAGGTTTGAACTAAAATCTTATGTTTCCTATAACCTCGTGCTTGAAATACGATTTGCAGGTTCGCTTGTGTTTGGCTATGAGAACCTGACCTAGTCGCCCGACCTTAAGTTCATGGCTTGCCGTCTTCCAGTCAATCTCGTTGAGACTTTCCCGTAAACATACACCCAACACTCAATCAAAGTCCAAATTCTCCGGAAACCGGCCCTCACCAGTCACTTGTGGCTTTCACACCCCCCTTTGCCTCTGCGGCAAGGCTAAGAGAGACTCCAGTCATTGGCGGTTGGCTTTAAACTGGCCGAAATAGCAAAGACTGAATCAGAGGCTCAATAGACCCGAGTGATCTGTCTGTCTCATTACATCAAACTAAAATCTTATTCCAAAAATTCCTAGATCTCGAGGTCGTCAATTCTTTTGGTAGGTCGACTTCGAAAGGCCAAACTTCATTTCAACGACAAACTTTCGACGGCTTGGACACCACTCAAAGCCCGGAATTGTTGTAACACTCAGTTCACCGACGACTAGAGATAGCGATCTGCAATATGAGCAAAACTTCCAGCATTGAGAGGGCGGCGGAACCGATTATGAAGCCTATTCGAGTTGCCGTCATCGGCGCTGGTGCTTCTGGTTTGGTCACAGCCAAGTACCTTCGTCAGGCTAGACAGTACTTCGGCGTACCCGATATCGAGGTCCGGATCTTTGAGAGGGAAGAAGGAGTGGGTGGTGTCTACAAGTACAAGGTCTACGAAGAAGCCGAGGTATGGCAGCCCATCAATCCTCCTTATCCTCGTACATCGTTTCATGTTGATATGGAAGGCTGACCTTGCATAATTATCTTAATCCGTGAATATGCTTGATAGCTAACAAAAGATCAAAAACCCCCTAGATGGTTTCGTCCAAGTACCTCACAGCGTTTTCGGACTTTCGTGTCCCAAAAGACCTCCCTGATTTTCTGCCGGTAGAGGATTATGTTCGCTACCTCGAGGGCTTCTGCGCCCAGTTTGATCTTTGGGACATTATCGAGACGAATACGGAGATTCTTCGAGTTTCTCACACGGCCAATGGCCACCGCGTCTTTTTTCGACGCTCTCAATGTTTGGAAGTTGCAGAGAGCCAAGATGAGGGCCAAGAAGAGGAGTCATGGGACTGTGATGCCATCGCCGTCTGCTCCGGTCTTAACAATGTGCCGTCCATCTCATACATCGAAGGCCTTGAGAACGTGAGACATCTCCACTCTTCCGAAGTGAAGGAGAGAACCCAGTTTGGGTCGAATACGTCTGTGATGATCCTAGGCGTAGGAGAAACGGCAATGGACCTAGCCCACCTGGCCGTGACTTCAAAAGCCAGGGAAGTAGTGATGTGCCACAAAGGTGGTTTCTTTTGCGCAAAAAAGGTACAAAGCTTATTCCTTACGCTTTGTACTTGCGATATGCTCGGTCTAGCATAGAACAATGCTGATGACTACAGGTTGTTCCTTTACCAGTTGTCATGCAGCTTTGGATGCCGGATCCTCACCAAAAGCCGGTCGACACAGCAATTGCGAGTTTCCTCGACACTGCATATCTTCCAGAGCGTCTCCAACACTCCAGTCTACTCTGGAGCGTGTACGACAAGACGTTCAAGGGTCTTCACCTTCTCTCAGGCGGGACCGCGGCTGGCCCGGATCAGTGGGTTGGAGAGATTGAGGGCGAACGCAATAACGTTGACTCCTGTGAGTATTTGCCCAACTAACAGAGGAGATGGTGTTCTCCCTTATGGACGAGTACGAATAGTCTATTTGAGTCAATGGCTGACTTGACTTGCAAAGTGTTTCTGGTCAAGTCCGATCGCGCTCTACCATATCTCAACGAAGGAAATCGGCCCAAAGACATTTTCTCTCGCATCAGAGCTTTTGTGATGAATATTGAGTTGAAGCCCACAGGTGGTAGAAAGATACTGACAGCGCCTTGGCCATCCGCTTTCCGGGAGGATGGGACTGTCGTGTTTCCAGACAGCAAGAAGCGTGAGCACGCTGAGGCGCTGTCTCAAGTCATCAAGCCCGACTTGGTGGTCGCTGCAACTGGATATGTGCGCCGATTCGATTTTTTGGACGACGATTACCCGAAACCCAATGAGCTGGATGTACGCGGGATCTGGAGGCGCGGAGAGATAACCGCGGGATTTATTGGCTTCGTACGGCCTGGCATTGGTAGGGCCCCGTTGGTTTTGGTTGTTATGGGTGTAAGTCTGCCGTGCTAACACAACTTATTCAGGAGCTATTCCGCCTCTTGCCGAACTACAAGCCCAACTATGGGTTCTCAACCTCCTCCGGCACAAATACCCTCAACGAATGGCGCTGCATGCTTCAGGTGCCAGCCAAGGAGAGTCTAACGACGATGCTATTCCTCACTATGAGATCGACTACGCTCTCAAGGCTCGAGGCGGACATGACTTGTTCAAGAGCAAGCACGGGGTTGAACAGGAGTCTTACGCATATCAGCTTGCTCTCGACATGGGCAGCGCGCCGACATTTTCTTTCATGTGGCGTCAGGGGTTTAAGGCGTTTTTCACATGGGCAATGGGATCAAATTTCAACACCAAATTTCGTCTCATTGGTCCATGGAGATGGACAAAGGGCGCGCTGCCTATCATGCGTGGCGAGCTGTTTGATGTTGTCAAGCAAACAGGGGGCGGTGTCTGTAAGTTGGTATCTCAGGCCTCGTGTGGTGGTAATTTCAAGCCCCTTGCTAATCAATCCTCGTTCTCAGTCTTTACGACCTACACCCTTCTCCCTCTCTATCTATTCGGTTCCCTGACTCTCCTTCTCCATGCCACAGCAGGTATTTTAAGACTGGTCGGGATGAAAGAACGGGCCAACAGAATGCTTGGTACAGGGAATATTCCACGCCGAGAGGGTGATAAAGTTAGTCTCTAACACGTACCAAATAAGTTGGTAAGACCGACCAGCATTGAAACCTTTCTTAATTTGAATAAAATACGCAAGTCGTTCGTGCGAGGTGGGCTCGTTTGGTTTCAAGGTGATATGTCGGGATTGATCTGGAAGTTAGGACATCTCTGCTCGCAGTGAGGAATTACACTGGATGTACAGGGGCTTCGTTCCAATGTTCCAGCGGCTGGTTGATCAAGTGCCCCGCGCGGGGTACCTGGACGGTCCGTTATTCTTGGTTCCTTGGGGGCTGATATCAAGCCGTTGATTGGCGGCGACCGAGTTTTCCGATAACGATAAGGCCGCCAATTGACGCTTCGGCCATAAACATTTTTTTTTTCTCGCGACAGCTTCGCCTGGACCAAATCTTTAGCCCGGTAAAGCCTACCCAGCCGCGACCATGCACCACCTCGTCCAACCGCACCAATGGGTGTCCCTGAAGCTGCTTTCAGAAGATACGAAGGTGCTACAGATTATACCTAATACGTGGGTTCCTAAAGCAGAGATCTTATGTGACGACAGCTGACTCTTTGTCTTTGCTTCCAGCACGATTTCACTGGGCAAACTCGGCTCGTTCCCTAGCAACCTTATCATTGAGCGGCCATTTCACATCACCTACGAGATCCAAGATAGAAGGGATGGCGAGAACTTTAACAGACTGCGAGTCGTTCCTACGAGCGAGATTCACGCCGACGCCCTGGCCGACTTGAACGCCCAGAACGCAGAGGAGGAGGGCACCACTCTCGAGAATGTCATTGCCGCCCCCGATGGCGCAGAGTTCGAACTAGTCGACCAGGAAAGCGGCAATGTCGTTGCACACTCACGACGCGAGATTATCGACGACGCCGCCCGCCAGACCTTGACCGCCGAGGAGATTGAGCAGCTAAAGCAGGGCAACACAGACGCCGGCAAGGAGATCATCGCGAAGCTACTGTTGTCGCATACCGCCATTGATCAGAAGACGGCCTTCTCCCTCGCCAAGTACAAGTTGCTCAAGACCAAAAAGTACATTCGACGCTTCATGATACAACCACTTGACCCTCTGACGTTGGGCAAGTGGCTCTTGGAAGAGAAGGATGCGGGAAAGGTGCTGGAGATGAGGGAGGAGATGATGGGGCTCTTGAACTCCTGGGCCAACGTCCATTTCGGCGGCGTATCCCCCACGGACAAGCCCGAGACTGTGACGATTGATGGGTCTGGCATGTTGGACAAGTCCGAGATTGGAGGTCGCTGGCTTGTGGTGGAGGACACTGGAGGTCTCGTTACCGCCGCCATGGCCGAGAGGATGGGCATACTATACCCCAAGGACCCCGAAGACGTCCAAGAAGTGGAGGATGCTGCAGATGTTGGCAAGGAAGAAGTGAATGGAGTCAAGCCAGCAGAGAACACCACCACCACCATTGACGCCGCGACACAACAGACACAGGAGACAAGCGCAGAGACTGCAGTAAAAGATTCGACAACAAAGCCCGAGGAGGCCACAGCTGATGCCACAATGACAAATGACGGCGAGACGACAAAGCCGCAACAACCTCGACGAAGACACCCGCCCCGTCGCGACGACTTTGAGGCCATGTTTGCCCCTACCAACACCTTGACGCTCATCCACCCCAATAGCCAACCGAATCTCGCCCTCCTCAAATACTACAACTTTGACAGCACAAATCCAAACCCGCCTTACCCGCTTCACCCACTCGCCACCAATCTATTGCCCATTTCATGGCTGCAGCTTTTGGAGCCCGAGGAGGACGTCACATACTCAACACCGCCCCCCGAGGTTTCGGACGAGGAGCTGCACTCGTGGAAGGCTAATCGGCGCGGCAACTACCACCGGAAGCGAAGACGTTGGGCGAGAACCCGCTACATTGTGGACTCGACGCGCGCTGGTGGGTTTTCCGGTCTCGTTATCGCCAGCACGATGGACACGGTGTCCATCCTTCGTCACACCTTGCCGCTCCTGGCCGGTGGAGCGCCGATTGCCGTCTACTCGCAAAGCATCGAGCCGTTGACGGAACTGGCCGATTGCTTCAGTATTGCCCGCCGCGCAGGCTGGTCGTCAAATCCCCCGGCCGAGGCAGCTGGCAAGTCTGTCCAGGAGTTGGAGCGATGGGAGGGTTCAGATGATTTCCCCATCAACCCCACTCTGCTTTTGGGCGCCAATGTCCAGACAAGTCGCGCGAAGCGCTGGCAAGTTCTGCCCGGTCGCACGCACCCCATGATGATGGGGCGGGGCGGGGCGGATGGCTACGTTTTTACGGGTTGGAAGGCAGTGCCGGCGGAGGGTAAGGTCGAGGCCAGAGGCAAGTTCAAGAGGAGAAAGGTTGAAGCATGAACAAAGTGAGCAAGTACGGATACTGAATAGACGTGGACGCACAATCGGGTGGGGGTCATGAGGGAAGACGAAAGAGAAAGGAGACCCTCGGGGCATCAGAAGGCTTGCATATAGATACCCTAGCATCCTCTTATCGAAGCTTGGGTCTCAAGCTGTGATTGGAGTAATTGGCATCATCATATTGTCCTGGCCTATGCGCTCAAACATTTTTCCCCAACCAAGGTATTCCCTTGTCTCTGGCGATTCTTCTTCGACGACCCGCATCACAACGCCTTGCCCATGAACTTTCTCTTGGTGAAGCTCAGCCACCATTTGCTCGGCTTTCCATCGCCGCCTTCTTCGTACACACGTGCCAGTAACCGGACTGCTAGCTCTTGGCGGACCTGGGACATGTACTGGCGGAGTTGCTCCGCGTCTTGTCTATCGCGCGGGGGCTCGTACATCTACATCGATTGTCAATCTTGAGAAATAATACTGGACCTCGGGAGGCCGTCGTACCTGATTCAGGGGCCACGCCGGGTCGCCGGGGATGGCGAAGTTGGTATCGAGAGCCACGTTCATGACATCCTTGGAAGCATCACGCGCGCCGGCGCTAGGCTTGATCTTGGTCAGACAGTCACTGACGAACCAGATGCCGTACACCAGAAGGCGGTCAGCGGGGCCCTGAAGCTCAAAGTTGCGGAAGAAGGTGTTGGCGCGGAATAGGGCGAGGACTTCGTCGAGGATGTCGTAGCTTTCGCTGTCTGGGTCGGGAGACTCATTGGCGGGCAGAGGCGGGTTGGGGAAAGGAAGAGTATAGGCCGGGCCGCGGGTCTTTGTGCGCAGGGGCAGCAGCGGGAAGTTGCCTATTGTGCGAGGAACGTTCGGGTCGGCATTGAACATGGAGTTGTAGGCCTGGGTAGAGGTCATCGTCAGCTCGGTTCGGGCGGGTTGGGGAGTAGGTTGAATTAGGCGGGCTATGCTAGAGCCTCAGAGACAGAGAGAGCTCAAGCAAGTTATGGGGTGAGTGTTACATAGACGTACCGGCATCTTGAAGAATATCCCTGACCAAGCGATCGGTTTCGTATAATGTGAAGCTGGTCTTGATGAGGATTGGTCGCAAATGCAGTTGGGAGACGTTAACTGCACTGAAGATGGAGAGCAAGCAGCCGATGGTGGGGCTCGACACTGAGCTGACGGTAGCGACTGACGTCCACCTCACACTGCCACTCTCTGAATGGACCTTGTGGCTCCTGAGGCTTGACGGGACCTACCGCCTTATCTTCAGCCACAATTCTGATGGTGGGGTTGAAAAATGTGGCGCAGCACTCGACTGCCATCATTCCGTGCACGTGCCATTAAGCTAACTCATGTAGGCACACAAGGGATAGGAGTCACGGGAATGCAAGTCACGAGTTTGGGTGAATGATTTGATGACTCAGGCATCTTCAAAGCCATGCGCAGCCACAAAATCAATGACATGGTTCATGCCCGGTACGTATCGCTGGAGGGGGCTGGTGCCTAAGATCACATGACTTCGCACTCTCCGCGTGTCGCAGTTTCCCGGTTGCAAGCGGGCCAAGAGCACCAGGCAGTGGCAAGTCGCGCCCTTCGTGCCTTCCAAAGAGGTGTGAAGCCGAAATGGGTGCGCGTGTTCTGGCCCTTTTGGTGGCCGAGGCTTGCAGATTGGCGGTGGAAGAGGAAGGAGAAGTTGGAGTCGCGGGTGGACATTGAGCAGGCAGGTTGCAGACACAGGCAGGCACCATCGCGATGGGGGACGGGAATTGGGAAGGCACTGACAAAACGAACAGTCGTGACGGGTCAATAAGTCTGCACCTGCCCAGTTTTTGCCGCCACACCACGGTGACCACCACACTGGATTCTATCGGGTCTTCGGAGTACCGTTTGGCTGTTCTGCACACACACAACACACACATACACACACACAAAAGTGACAGCGCAACAACCAGGAAAATCGACGAAGAAAAGTTGGAATATTTGACTCGCGCACCCGCGTTTCACTGCCCCTCTCTTCTCCCCCCTTGTTCCTGCTGCTCTCTGTCTCTCTCTTCCTCTTCGGTTCTTCTCTCCAAGTCTCGTTTCTCTCCCCCCCACCGCCCACCGGGCGCGCCATATCCTGGACCAACAAGTCCCGTTTTCTCTGCGTAGGACCGTCCCATCTGTCTTGGACGGTAATACACCAAACATCCCGACATCCCTCCCGTATCCTTTCTTTTTCCTCTGCCTCGTGAGCCGACAGCGACGCTTAAGCCTCAAACCCTTGAAAGCGCCGTCGATCTCAACAGATTGCAGACAAATCGGTACCCAGTCACAAAGCACCACTTCTCTGACCGTACATCAAACTGCATACGGATATTCTCCGATCTCTCTGCGGATCCGGATCCTCTTTTCTCTCACTTAACAACGCGTCGCGCACCCAGTTGCGCCGACTGCTGTCCGCCTCACCGAGTCCGTCACAAAATCCACTGGCCATCCTCCTCCACCATTCCACACACCCCAAAGCAAACCAAGGGGCCATACTCCGTACTACCATCTTCTCCCCGTCGCGTCGGTGCCGCAAGGCTCCAAGCTCAAGGTTCAACTGGACACCGGGCCCAAGGCGCAACGCAAAGGCCCCCCTAAAATACCCATACTACCTTCGCAGAAAGAACCAAAGGAAGAGCGCCACAACCCGATGCTCATTTTAGAGTGAGACCCCCCAATCACTATTCCTTTATTGCCATGACCTCGTTGTTTTCCTTCCATCCACCTCGTGCCCTCCCACCCAATAATAGATACTACCTTCATTCCTCTTCACCTAGACCCGAATCATGTTGACAAAACCACAGATCGGTATTCAATAGCACCAGTTTCGCACGACAACTGCGCAACTTCTTCGACTCCTCCACCGCCAAGATGCATCTCCCCAGCAGCGCCCCGACGGCTTCGTCAATGTCCTCGCCCGAGCCCATTCACGCGACGCCCCCGACTTCGAGTCCTATTCCTGTCATGCCCTCCCCCGCCAAACGCAAAAGAAGACTTCGTGTCTTCAGGCCAGACGAAGGCTCTCTCTACGACCAGCTGTGGGATCATGCTGGACTCTCCCTCTTCGTTCGTCCCATCTGCTGGACCGAGCTACATGTCCAACTTCTCGACGCCAAGTTCGTTGAGCTCCCTCCATGCGACACGCCAGTCCCTCCTCCTTCACCACGCGGCGCTCCCGTCTCCCCGTCGAAATGTCACATGAAGCCGTCAGTTGCGGCCTCGACACTCAGCAGAGAACTTACGGCCATGCTCGCGCCCGGCTCCACGAGAACCTTCTATACAAATTCCGTCCGCACAATCATGTCCACCCTCTACCCCGGGAAGCTGTCGCGCACCCGAACACAGCTTGATTTGCACCTCTATTTTGGCGGTCTAGTGTATCGCGATGCCTGTCGCGTACAGGTTGCTTGGGATGCGATGCCCTCGCGCAGCGGCTCGATCGCCTCGTTTGAATCCGCGTCAACGCGCCCAGCCGAATCCTTCACTGTTGTGCCGACGGGTTCCACTGGTAGCGCAAGCAATATGAGCGGCGAACCAACGGGTTACGCTCAGTCGCAGCCCATCCTCGCTTACGTTGGCAAGATGCAGATCGCGGCGACGCGAAAGAACATGTACCGCGTGATTCAAGGACCTAACAGATCGTACAACGGACCGGTCGAACGTCTACAACAGTTGCGCTCCAAAATGTTTGTTCCCAACAACCCGACACATGACCCGTTGCTCGTGGGCATCATGTTGGCTATGGCGCAAAGAAGGTTTCACGGCGAGCCACGGCCGTCAGCGAATAAGTGGGTTCCCTCACGGCCCATGCCTACCGGACTAGGAGAGCCTGAATTTTACGATGTGGCGGTACAGCTACTCACAAACGACAACGAAACATCCGAGTTCATCGTGTATAAGGCCACGGTTACGGCAGCTCTACTTCGCAAGTTCCACGAGCCAACTAAGAACCCCCGTAAGGGGGCCGAAAGGACACTTGCCGAGAGACTCGGAGAGGTTACATCCGAGGGTGGCATGCGCATCGAGTACACGAGAGTTCCTGTCTGGCCGATCCTCGGACTCAAGGAGAGATTGGGCAAGGCGCTCGGCCGGGACGTTGTGGGAGAGTTCGACGAGGACAACATCGAGACATGGGAGGAGGAAGCGGAGCGAAATCCCGACAAGCTCAAGCGGCGAAGAGATCGCGAGGCCCTCGTCGAAGTGTTTAACGGCAGCTTCGAGGAAGAGGCTCCAGCCGACGGTATGCCTCTCAGTGGGAAACGAAGATGTTTAGTTGACGAGGAAAGCGGGCAGGTGGGCATGGTCGTCTGAAGGAAGTTCACTGCCCTTGATCATTGCATAACGAAGCCACGAGGCGTTTTTGAGAGAAGCATTCATCGCATTTCTCCGAGGCCGCTACGGGATGCGGCCACGGCATGGGAACCATGGATTTAGCTCTGTTCATCGAGTAAATGGAGTTGTGGGATCAGCGGAGAGAATCAGGACTGATTCTTGACACGGATAGACGAGACGCATTTTGAACCCGGCATCGGTCAGAAGCACAAGAGTGTTTGACTTTTTTTCTCCTCCGGGAGATCCAAGTAAGAAGGGATATGTTTGCGATTTTTTCGAACGGCTGCATGGGTTGTTTAGGCAATAAGATGGAAAACTTACGTTAGATTCCCCGACACAAGCGAATAGTCCAGCCGACTCAGCCAGTGTCTGCGATCAGTGCTTTGCAATAAAATTAGTTTGCGAAGATGCCAAGTTCCATTGTCTGGCGATCATGATATTATCTAAAACATTTACGATGAGAGCGCCGCGGCTTTCCAGAGTAAGGTACGTTATCAAAATAACACACTACAAAAGATCCCTCGTGATGAGTTTAGGTAATCCGACCAAGACCGCGCCTCCAAAGGCGTATCATCGCGCCGACTCTTTTGTTCTCGCGCAGGACTGGAGGTAGCAACGCCCACTCGATCCACCTGAGTAGCGGCATTACTGTCTCACCCGGTACCACAGTCGGACAGTCTCTACCTGCTCGCAACCTCGGAATGTGTGTCATCACCGACCTCCTCCAGGCCGCCGACACGCAGCGGATGCTGCCGGGTGCCGAGCCAAACATTTTCTTTTTTTCCTGTCACTGCAAGTTGAATCCCACACCGTTTACATTCGCCCAGGTTCATTGGATCCTTGACACCTTCACGTGCTAGTAGACCAGAGACGCTCGCAACAAGATGAGTCTTCGCTCACACTCGACTTGGGGCGATGTGGTAAGGCCGAATCAAGAAGCGGGAAGCACCGCCTGATGCGAGCGGTCTCCGAGACCATGTCCTGCGTGTACAAGACGAGGGGAAAATTGAAGAAAAGACAATTGAAGGAAAGAGATTAACTTCTTTTTCTTCTTCGGCCGAGATGATTTCTCCCGAGTTTGCCTCGACCTATAAGTAACGCTCACCTTGTTACACATGGCTTCATTCCCTTTCAATCACCTTTCTTTGCTAGACTACCGCTCTATTCCTTCCTCTCCGTCCCTCCCTCTCCCTCCTTCTCTCTGCCTCGCTTTCTCACAGACACCTAGAACATGATGAAGATTTCTCTGAAACCAGCTCTGGCTGTCATTCTCTTCCTAGCTGGTCAGTCAGCAGGCAAGTCTGAGCAACATCAGCATGAACCTCGTGCTGCTCCGGCGGAAGTAGACGCGCCGGCCGGTACGTTCAAGGGACGATCATTCGGCTCCGTCGATACTTTCTCTGGCATCCCCTATGCAAAACCGCCCACCGGACCGCTCCGGTTAAGACCGCCTCAGAGACTCAACTCCTCTTTGGGCAGTTTTGACGCGACAGGAACCGCGGCCGCATGCCCTCAGTTTCTCTTATCCACCGACAGCCGGAACATTCTTATTGATGTTGTTGGCTCATTTCTTACGCTCCCATTCTTCCAGCCTATTACCGGCCAAGAAGACTGCTTGACGGTGACTGTCCAGCGTCCTTCTGGCACACCGTCCGATGCGATGCTTCCAGTCTTGTTTTGGATATTTGGGGGTGGTTTCGAGTTCGGGTCGACATCTACATACAGCGGGGCAAGCTTTGTCCGTGATGGTGCCGACATGGACCGTCCCTTCATCTTTGTTGCTGTCAATTATCGACTAGGAGGTTTCGGGTTCTTGCCTGGGCGTGAAATCCTGCAGGATGGCTCAGCCAACTTGGGACTATTGGATCAACGTCAGGCTCTAGAATGGGTTGCCGATAATATCGCTGCCTTTGGAGGTGATCCTGATAAGGTGACAATTTGGGGGGAATCAGCCGGTGCGATATCTGTTTTCGATCAGATGGCGCTGTATGACGGTAACAACTCCTATCAGGGTCGACGACTGTTTCGAGGGGCCATCATGAACTCTGGTAGCGTTATCCCAGCTGATCCAGTTGACTGCCCCAAAGGTCAGAAAGTCTACGATGCTGTCGTAAAGGCAGCTGGTTGTCAAGGAACAGCAAGTACCTTGGATTGCCTACGCAGTGTTGGTTATGAGACATACATGCGCGCCGCAACGGCGGTGCCCGGCATCCTTTCATACGAAGCTCTTGCTCTGTCGTATGTTCCTAGACCAGATGGCACGGCACTGGTAGACAGCCCTGACATGATCGCAAAAGCAGGACGATACGCTGCGGTGCCCATGATCATCGGCAACCAAGAAGACGAGGGTACACTGTTCGCACTATTCCAGCCTCTGGTGTTGACAGCGTCACAACTCGTCAACTACCTCTCAGAGCTCTACTTCCACAACGCCTCGACAGCGCAGTTGACTACCCTCGTCAATACATATGACCACCGTATCTCTGCAGGGAGTCCCTTTCGGACAGGGATCTTCAATGAAATCGTTCCTGGCTTCAAGCGCAGAGCTGCCATCCTTGGGGATCTCGTCTTCACTCTAGCACGCCGCTCATTTTTATCTGTTGCTAAAGCAAAGCACCCGGAAGTCCCAGCTTGGTCGTATTTGAGTAGCTACAACCACGGAACTCCCGTGCTTGGTACGTTTCACGCTTCGGACATACTGCAAGTGTTTCTTGGTGTCTTTCCTAGCTTTGCACGACAAAGCACCCGGACTTACTATCTCAACTTCCTTTACAACCTGGATCCTAATTTCGGATTGGGCGGTTATGCGCAATGGCCGGAATGGAGTCAGGATCAGCAACTACTTTGGTTTCTGAACGATCGAACAGATTACCTCAAAGATGACTTCCGAAACGAAAGTTACAGATTCATATATAACAACATGCAGTCCCTGAATTTCAGGGACGATTCAGATTCACTACCGCGGTGGTCTCTTTGATACGTCGTGTATTCACGAGCAGTATGCATGGTGTCAAGGACAAGAGGAGTGGCCTGCCTGTTTGTTCTTCTTTGACGGAATTCTTCTATCGAGAGCGAAAGGGGTATTGCCAACGCTAAACTATGTACGTAAATGAAGATATGTGTCCGGACAATAACTGTTGACTGGGTCTGGCTCTGGCGACCCCAACATGATTTGCTACAAAACTGTGTCAGTGGTTGTGTTGAGAGTTTGAGTGGACAGCATACCTTTGAAAAGACATCGGCCTGACGGATGCCCATCTCCTCCGCAATTTTTGCAAGACGGGCTTTGACATATATCCGCTGCTTTCTGGTCGCAAAACGACTCGATCCAGTAGCTAGCAAGGGCCACATACAAGACACACCAGCTAAGCCTTTTGGCATCTCGGATGTCCCGCATGGAAAGTAGGGAGTACTCAGAGCATCGCCCGTCCACCCAAAAAAGTACGGAGTACTCGAGATAATGTCTGCCACTTGCTCAGTTCCGATCCGATTCGCATCAATATACTCTTTCGTAAGAGTGTGGTCACTCGGTGCGCAGACCCATGCGATGCAACGAACAATGACCTGGTTGAGAAGAAGTCGAGATACGTGGGTGTTGATGTGCTTTCCGGCTGCCCATACGTTCGGGTAATCGTAAATAGGTCCAGGAAACGCCGAAACGTAGCCGATCTTGTCCTCCGGAACTTCCGCAGCCGATCCTGAAATAACTTTTCTCCATGCTGGTGGGCACTTGTCAAACCACACACCGAGATCGTCGTCCATTTTCCGTGCCCTCTGTAAAAGCTTCAAAGCTTTGTCGATCTTATCGGTGGTTCGTGCTCCCTTCAGAAGACTGTCGGCCTCGCCACGGATGAGTGTCGTCTGGAGGTTCAATACCAAAGCTTGGTGGCCAACAGTGTCGCAGACGGCTTGCCGTGCCCACCAAGTCAAATCCTCCAAGGAAATATTTGCAAAGAAGGTGTACTGTCGGACCTGTCTTGCGCGTTAGACCACCGGTTTTTGACACGACGTTTTGCTTGTAAGAGTAAGACGTACCGATGTTGCCCGAACAAATTCAAACATGCTCAAGCCAACGCCAGACGTAGTCTGTTGGGGTCCACGTAACTTGACTATTGCAGTCGCCCCAGAGATGTGCTTCTTGAAACCAGACATTTCAACGTCGTCTGAGACCAGTCCTTCGTAAAAGGCCAGAAGAATTGCAGAGGCAAGCGTGGTGTCCTGCCTCACAGCGATCTTGTCTTGCATAGCTCGAGTCAAGTCTTCTAATGCCTTGCTATAGTGTAGGTGAGCCATCGAAGACAACCGTCGTGAGTTTGGCCTACCAGCCAGAGCAGCCATTGATACAGCTGAAAAAGCGGACTGCAAAGGAGATGCTTGATAGCTAGGCATATTCAATAGGGGTAGTACAAATGTGAGAATCCCCCTGCCAACTCCCGTTGGTGGAGCAAGCACGTAGTTTGCCAGAAAGTAACATGTCGCTTGTTGGTCGAGAGGTGTCTGCAATGTGTGTGGCATGCCATAAGTCCCTCCTTCAATGTCTTTGAATGACACAAAGGTATCGGGCGCTTGATTGCTGATGTACGACAAAGAAGAGGCGTATGACATTGAAGGCGACGCTTCAGAAGAAGACGAATTTGAATATCTATCAAACCAGTCATCTTCTGTGATTGGAATGATTTGTTGTTTTCGTGGAGGTGGCGCTGCTGGTGGTGTCCATTCCATTACTTGTGGTTGGGTTTGGCATTCGTTTTCCACATCCTGTTCCGTCGCGCGACCCTCTCGAATAGCCTTGCGCAACGCAGCCGACTTGGCCTTACGAATAGTCGATTGAGTCTCATCGCGAAGGTTGATCTCGAATGCATCCCGATAGCCTGGGCAGGTTCTTTTCGACTTGGCGCATTTGAGGCAGAAGGGCTTCGTCTCGTCACACTTGATCCTCCTCGCGCGGCAGAGCTTGCATGCCCTGCTCGGGTGACCCGTGTTGACCATCTTTGAAATAGAGAGAAGCTGATGGTACGGTAGTACTGCTTTTCTTTCCTCGAATAGGTAGTGTATGCTATGCGCGAGATCCACGGCCAGTTGACGGTTCAGGTTTCGACGCGGTTTGTGTCATGTGAGCGAAACCCCCTATCAAAGTAGGAAATTCGAGGAGGAATGAGAGGGGCGGACGTGCTTCCCTAAGACATAAAAGGAAAATGGGCAGACAGAACCGGGCTCGTGTCAGACGCGGCCGAGGGCGGCTGTTGATGAACCTCGAGAACAGACTGCTAGCCGTTGACGCAAGATGGAAGAAGCCGCACAAGGAAGTTGATATGTTTCAACTCTAAAACTCGCCCCGCTTGCTTTGGTGACATTCAGCAGCGCCGCCAGTTACAAGGCATCTAGCTCAGAAGATGACGTTACGAGTCAGGGTTGGAGAGGATGGATGATAGTATATTGGGAGACGGGGAGCGATGCTTCTTCAATCGATGTCAGCCGCTTTTGGGGAAGGGTGGCCTATTGCACAAGTCTGTTCGGCCAACCGTCAAACCCGACAGCTGAACCTTGGATAGAACCTGTCAGCACATGTCGGCATGCCTCCCCGTCGGCGGCTTGAGCGAGTGCGAATTGTTGTTGTAAAGATGCGCAGCAGTAACATCAGACGAAACGGTTAGCCCAAGCGTCGCTGCAACTGAAGGAGTGAAACCGGAACTCCATGCGAAGACGACTGGAGTTTCTGAAACCTAGTCACCTATCATTCGACGCATGAAAGTACCCAAACAGGTCTGGCGCCGTTCTTGTCCCCGTCTTCTAGAAGCCTGCCGGTTTAGATGAAGGCCATCTCGGCAGCTCACAGCACCTGCTCTCACGTGAGAAGTCTTCAAATGAAGCTCATTGTGGGAGACTTTGACCGGAAATCATTGATTTAGAAGATCCCGTTCTAAATGTGTTTCTGAAAGTTTCTTGCTTGCCAAACCTGCCAGTCGCTGTCATCTTACGGACCTGTGCAACTTGTATGGGTCTTGGTCACCTAAGACTTGGTTGGCGAAATGACACCATGAAGATATTGGGTTAGTCTGAAGTGTTGAGTGTTAGAGCAAAAATTAGAGCTCTATCTAGTCCCAAAACGGGAAAATCCACCCATCTGACGAAAAAAATAACCCCGAAGAAGAAGACCGTCGAATAATTCGGGGACAGATGCTCTGTGTACACGCTGCCCCGAATACGGCTCACATGTCATGGTCTTCTCTCGGCATTCTCGTACAAGACCCGGCAGATACACGAGCGATCCCTTCGCTCACCCAGGAACACCTTCCTAGTCACTGCAATATTTGCAGGCTGGAGCCGTCGTCTGATGAACCAAACTGACGCGTTCACCCGCGAGTCTGGTTTCTTTGCTCAACTGACATGACGTGACAGCCTGCACAGAATCCTCGGTCTCGGTATCTCTCTCTGTGATTGCCGAACCGAGTCTGTGATGAGAATCCGAGTTGGTGGAACACCTCCAAGAGTGGTGCTCTGCCAGGCCGCCGGATTCTCGTCCCAACGCACTCCCGACAAATTCTTAGAACCTCTTTCTTTACGAGGACAATAGCAGATGGGCCCTCCTGAGCGAATCAGTCATGCAAGAAAGAAGTGGTTGATGCTGTGATTAACGAGAACGTCTGCATAAAATGTCATCTGACCGAATCTTCGAAACTCTCAGCAAGCGATGCGCGATGCATTGGGCTTGCGTATCTTCAACATCTAGTCCCAACAGTCACCGTTGCATTCCACCCCCGATCTCCTCAGAGACGCGGCACCATTGCCATGAGATACATTTAGGTGGCTGTGTGCCGGCTGTACTAAGGTAGCCAGTCTGTGGAGTGCTCCAAAACAACATGCCAAAATCTAAAGTCCTGCTGCGCATTTGAAAGCAGGCATTTCTCTGCATGGATCAAGCGGCAATGTTAGTTCCCCCATACGCGTAACTAGCCATCACCGGCTCACTAGGCAAATGGCGGGGATGAGATAATAGAATGAGCATCGTTAAGTGAGACACCGGCACAGAAATCGCGCTGACTCGAAGGCTTTATGGCATAGTAAATGACTGATTAGTTGCCGCAAAAACGGCGGAACCCAGTACAACACACTGGCCGGCCCGTCGGAGTCTGTCACCAACGTCATCCGTAGTGGGATTCTCCGTTTGTCTAATTTGGCAAAGCCCGCTCACTCGAGTATCAGATTCCTGTTCTCAAAACCCGAATCGTACGGAGTGGAGGACGGAGTTAGCCGTCCCAGCCGTAGCTGTTGTGGGCGGAATTCGGGTCAGAGGAACGGACCTGCGATCGGCCGACAGCCCACGCAACTAGCAGACGTCGAGCACTGACATCAAGTATAGTTTTCCCCAGGAATGACCAAGTGAAGACGTGATACAACCGCGGGGACTCTTACGTCGAAAGGCCCGGGATGTGGGTGAGGGACTAGGATATGCCTTTAAATCCAGCAGCGCCGGATAAAGTCTTCTTTTCATGAGTTTTGCAGGTAGCTTTCCGCCGGCAGCACAGGCGCATCAAGTCCAGAATTTAACTCACGTCGCTGAGTCCGACGTGCGTTGTCTTGAACGCTGGGGTCCTTGCCTGCGGGCACACTGAGGACGTGAAAACGCGTTTAAGCACGTATGCACTGCTCTGTACCAAGTCCGAATCCCAACCCCGTTATCCGCGGCCCTGGAAACATTTTAAAGTATCGCAGTACGAAACTAATGGGGGCTGCCGTGCGGCATATGTCAGGGTCAGGGGGGCTTAATGGACGATCATATAGCTGAGCAGACTCCGCCTAGTACACGTGTACAGTCAAGCGTATCCCTTACCGGCAGTTGGTGCAAAGGCCACATCGCGGTCTGCAGCAGGCACGATTTAAGCTTGATGCTGGCTCAAGGTAGATCGACGCAGGCATGATGTCGCGATCCTGTTGTCAGCGGGCAGGGCCATCGATTCCAGCCCTGGTGGAAAGTTGCTGGGTTACCGAGACCGATGCCGTCTATTTTTTCAACTCCCCAGCTGTAAGACCGACCATGCGGCTGAGCTACATTTCAGACATCTCCGGAGCCTCCACGAATCTTGATGACCACCCTCCCACGCTGAGGCTTTGCGGGGGGAGGGGGGGGGGGGGGCGGGAAGATCATGGAGGCCGATGCGCCTGTCAACCATCGCAGCAGTAGCAGACGCTGTCAAGCAGAAAAGTTTCTCTTGCAAGCTCAGACATCTTGACACGGCACACCTACAGGATAGACACCTGTCTGGATAAACTCTTCTCACATCCACACACTGATCAGTGCTTCAACTCTCTGGCTCTATTAGTGTGTGCGTCAAGCTCGCCTCGACTTGACACATGGAGAGTGCTCGCTGGAAGATCGGTCCGTGGAGTAAGAAGAAAGAGCAATAGAGTAAACATGAGAAATGCGCCCGAAAGTCATGCACAGAAACCATCGAAGTTACTACAATAGTGCGCAAGGAGAAGATCCAGGCAAGGGTTCACAGTCCGAAAGCTCGGGATGGAAAATCAGCCGCAGCATCAGGTCGGACTCGCATTGCTCGCATCTTCCAACGGCGGAGAGCAGGAAGATGACGGGATGATTAGCAGCAGAGACATTCTTGACAGCCAGTTGCCTTATTGGGCTGATAGAACCGCCAGGATGGGTCACAGTTGGTTATATGACTTGGGGTACGAACAGACAGCCCAGGCGGGCTGGACACGTACAAGGGACAGGCGACGACAGCAAAGAACAGGCAAGACAGTTGTAAAAGACGGGATGAAAAGGTCATCTTCTCTGCTGAGTTGCCTAGCCGGGGGCAACCTTTTGCGATGAGAGCACCGCCTTCTCGTCCCAAAAGGGAAATGGTTCGCTGTTCCCCAACGGCGTCTGAAACGAATTTCCTCCTACCACTTGCCCTCTCGGGCAAGTGGATGGAAAGTCTACAAACACACCTCACCACTATTCTAATACCGGCCCGCTGCTGAAGACTTGTCCAACGTCGCAGCAAGCCAGTTGAGAGTGCTCGGGAGAGGAGTCTGTAGAAGGGAAGAAGAGGAGAAAGTGGTGAGGAGGATGGAGCGTGAAGACAGTATGGTTGGGATGAGATGTGGCGACGTTGATTCTAATAAGGGTCTCACTTGCACCAAGTATGCTTTCTGTGTTCTACTTCTCCTTTTTCGAAAAAGAAAACGAGAAAAAGTGCCACATCGTTGAACGAAGAGACACTACACTTAATCGAGATACCCAAGCAATTTGTTTCTGCTTCTGAAGAGTCGAATACCCCGTGTACGAATCACAAGTAATGCACATATCGAGTACGATCATTCAACATAGTCTTTCGTCGTAGCCAATACGTCTCAGAGAATTGAAAGGCCGGACTTTCTTCCATTGACGACCCCGATCTGCATACGCCTCGCCTCGCCTTTGGCCGTCATCAGCCTTACTGCCCTATCTGGGCATGCCCGTCGCGGTACTCTTCAAGTCCGGAATTCCGCAACACGTCGTCGGCTAGTCATAAGACAGACTGTTCACTGTCTTGGTCAGTTTACTACTACTAGGAGGCCCGCTTGCCTATTCCATACATGCAGTTCGTCACTACATGAGCCGCAATGCAACCTTGGAGTCTGTCCTCCTCAACCATTGACTCAAGTCCGTATACGGCTTCTTACACATAGGGAATCACCTGAGACTGTCTACCCGCATTGAGTTGTTTTCTGTCCGGTCTGTCTTCCGCTTACAACATCTCTCTACGCTGGTTGTATCCACAAGCCGACGTCCCGTCCGTACCCCTGACCCGGCAGGTCGCAGGGTCTAGACGAAAAGAGGCAGCGTGCCTCACTTCTAAAAGCAGTCATGGCCGGTCTTGCTGGATTCCTCTCTGCGGCCGCTTCCCTCATATCTCTCAACTTCGTTGCTGCAGAGGGAGTTGTCAAGGCGGCACAGGCTTCTACATCACCGGCACTCCAACTAGCACAGGTGGCGGCATCCGTACCAAAGCCAGCAGCAACGCCGTTGTCATCAACACCACTCTCAAATCCACAGAGACCTGCCGCGCCGGCCGTAGCACTAGCAACTTTGGCTTCTCAAAACCACTCCATAGCGAAAGCGGGTATACCGTCGGTTGCTGGCCAGCTACAACCTCCACAAGTCATTGTTGAGACGAATTACATCGTTTACACTCAAATCAGGACTGCTGCGCCGTCATATATCACTGTCACGCAAACAATACGACCGCCGCCGCCTCCTCCTCCTCCTCCTCCTCCCGTTAGACCACCACCTCCTCCAAAGCAAGAACTTCCACCTTCACCTCCTAAGCAGATACAGCCGATATCTCCGCCGAAGCAGGTTCAGCCTTCATCACCACCAAAGCAAGCTCAACCTCCTTCACCGCCAAAACAAGTTCAACCGTCTTCGGCGCCCAACCAGATTCAGCCCCCTGCACCCCCGAGGCAGGCCCAACCTCCTTTGCCACCAAAGCAAGGGGAACCACCGAGAATTCCATCTCTACCTCCTCCTGCGGCCAATAGTCAGGCATCTAATGCAGTGCCTCTTGTGATTCCAGTCCCATTAGTTGTACCAGCACCGTTGGTGTTACCTTCAACACCGACTCCAAAGACGACACCACAGCTGGCTGCTACTTCACCTTCTCCACCACCGCCACCGCCGCCTCTAGCAGCAGCACCTCCAGCAACAACACGCCTCAGCATTCCGGAATCACCGCCACAACCGCCAGTTCTCAATCCCATCATGAGTGCCGAGGGGCCAGAGAGGGGTGGCATGCCCAATGTAAACCCGAACCCGCAGGCTCAGACTGGTCCTCCCGGTGGGCCTTCTATGGGACCTCCTGACCCGGCCAATGGAGCGTTCCCGGGTGGTATACCAAACAAGAATATCGACCTGCCGGTCACCATCATGTTCATGGTGTTGTTCATGCTTGGTGCGTACGTACACTTGAGCATTTATCGGAGAAATGCCAAACGTGGTCACAAGTTCCTGATTTCGGATATCGTCTTCGACTTCTGTATGATCCGAACAGTTACTTGCATCTTTCGGATCACGTGGTCGATTGTGTCGACCCGAGGGGTTGTGTTACTGGCGTTGATCACTGAGAACGGAGGGTAAGTCAAGCGGTCTGAGCTGCAAAAGGAATGAGTATCCTGCTAACGATGTTCAGTGCTGCTCTTTTGTTTGCTGTTAACATCTTCTTCGCCCAACGCCTGGTCCGCTCGATCCATCCGAAAGCCGGATGGTGTACCGCGTTTAGTCAGTTCAGTTTGATCCTGCTCTTTTCGGTTCCGGCATTTATCATTCTGAACATGACGTCGACAATCATCGCGTTTTTCAGTGTTGGCAATGTAGATCGTCTTGAGACTACAGACGATTTACTCAAATTCGGAAGTTCATGGAACACTTTCCTCTCCATCTTCCCTGTACTTGTCGTAAGCGGATGCCTCTCTGTGCCAGGACCGAGGCCAGAGAAGTTCGGTTCTGGCTCACAGAGAGTCAAGGTAGCCCTGCTTTACCTGGGCTCATTCCTTTTGATTACTGGCCAGTCCATTCGACTGTTCGCCGTCTTCAATAAGGAACTACCAGGAGCAACGCCGAGCGTGATTTACGGAAAGGCAGTATTCTACACGACGGGGTTCTTCTTTGAGCTCATTGTCGTCGCACTCTACGCAATCATGAGAGTTGACCTTCGTTTCCACGTTCCGAACGGAGCAAGTGGGCCCGGGGACTACTCCGGCGACAGGGACAAGGGCAGCTACTCTGTCGAAGAGATTGAGCGGCTCATTGACGATTTGGAGGTGCCGCATCAGATTATGCGTGAAAGAAAGGGACCAGAAGACATGGAAATGGTATTCACCATTTTCTTCGCCACCAAGGACGCCGGAAAGGATAAAGAAAAGAAGGAAGCCGGAGAAGGGTCAGACGAAACGTCATCTGGTACAAACACCGAAGACGCAGCGCTGCCGGAGAGGCCAAAGAGAATTACCAGGAGGCAAACGCTCATCGATGCCATCAACCGGCCTCCGCGGCCGCCAAGGACTCCGTCGGCGTATCCTGACATTCCGGACATGTATGCTCAGATGGGTGAGCCAGAGATGCCGCCGAGACGTCCCACGAGGCCGTCCATGTATTCTCAGTTCGACAACGGGCAAGCGTATGACGCCAGGGCCGACGCGCGGTATCAGCAGCAGTATTGGGGTGCATCGCCGCCTTATGGAAACGAGAAGGAGGGCATGAAAAGCGTAGACTTGAGACGATGAGGAATGAAGGAAGCAGAGCATTGAAGCGAAGCGAGCGAGTTGCGAACGGAAGCCGCTTGGGCATCCGTCTGATGTATTCTATTCACATATCATGATTACTTTCCACTGATGGCGGGCTTGCACGCCGGAAGTGATGACACATGAGAAAGAAGGACGAGTCAAAAGTCGGCAGTAGTGCCATTTCACTTTACTTCATTAACCCCCGGGCTGGCCTCATCATGGGAATCATCTGTGACGATTGACCGACTTCAGTCTTGGTCAAGAAGCCTGCTGATGAGTAAAGGTCCACAATATACTCCTCGGCATCGAGGTACATTGGGTAGCCCAGCTTGTCGGCAATTTCCGTTCCTCGTTGGAGGAGGGCTTTCGCATAGCCTCGTCGAAGGTAGGCCGGGTCGGTGAAAATCAGCTCGAAGTCTGGCACATGATCAGCGTTTTGCAGGTGGGCGGCCGGCCAGATTGTCAACGGGAAGCTTATTCGTGGTGAACGAACCGGCCGGCCAAGGAGTCTAGAGTTGACGTACAAACGTGAGGGTTCTTGCCCATGACACGGTCGTGCTGAGACGCCATGTCGGAGAAGAACTCATCAAGCAGCTCGTCTTTTTGCCCTGCATTGGCGGGAGGCCATCGCCTTCGCCAGGACCAGGTTCCCTTGTCCTCGGGACGGATAATCCAGATGAGGGTGGTGGCTACTGGCTCGCCTTGAACGGGACAGCTGTCAGTCAGAGAAGGTACGAGTAGATATGGCGCCGTCAATTCAGCGGATTCCGAAGTCCGGTAGGGATAAGACAAGGTCGGAGTTCGGACAGCCGGCGGAGATGATCATGTCGAGGAGTTTGGGCTACCTTTCTCGTTCCTAACAACGGCAACTTGACCTTCTTGAGAACCGTGCTCCTTCGAGAGCATGAACTGCTTGTAGGCGTCGGTAATGTAGGCCCGGCCGTATTCATTTTGCGGGAACAAGGTCTGAAAGAAGTCACTATTGAAGGACTTGAAGAAAATTTCGGCGATGGCGGGGGCGTCTTCGAGCCTGGCCGGCTCAACAGCGACGGGTACTGCCGCCATTGGATTGAAAGATCGGCGGTGACGTGGGTGACGAAGAAAATGAGCGTCAGAGCGGATGGCAGATCAGATGCCAAGCCAGAGGATGAGGAACTGCGGATGTAAAGGCGCTGGCGAGGCTCAACGGCTGGTGAGACGGTTCGGGTGGGAGAAATGAGACGAAGGTGACCTCGAAGATGAAGGAAAGTCAGGAATTAGCCCAGTATTTCAAGGCCGGCAGCTATGGCCAAGACATGGCATGACTCTGAGGCCGAGGCCGACTACGACTAATACGATGTGAACAGCGGGGTGCCAAACGCACCCCAACTTCAAAATCCCCAGATGGGGTGCCACCGGGAATCCTTGACTCGACTGCGGACGGGTTTTCCGTAAGGTAATGCTTCAAGACCAGCTCGTGTGCGCGGAGAGTGGAGACGTCTCCCCGAAACGTATCCATAAAGTAGGTGAGATAGGTTACTTTGACAGCCCAAACATGATCCAGGGTGATTCTCTGGGATGGAAGGGGAAGGTCGAGAGACAAACAGCAATTCTTATTCTTGTCCAATGGCAAGAGCGAGGCTAATGTCTGACAGTCATACAGACTTAACATGTTGGTGGCATATTTGTACGATTCCACAGCACTTGCTAAATTGATTTGAGGCAGAAAGGAGCAGGATCACAGGCCGGCGTTGGGCGAGGCCCGAAACAAGACTTGGCCAGCCTTGGGGACAATGTTGGATCGTGGATGGAACTGTGGTTATTGTGTGAGATGGGACGCGAGTCTAAGACTCCAACTTTTGATAGAGGGGTAGTTTCGCTTATGTAATGGAATATCCATAGCGGGGCCGACCACGTTGACCGCCTTCTCGCCCCGTCGAACCTGGGGCTCCCTCCGGCAAAGTTTAAGTGGTCACGTGAAGCACCATCATTTGACGCGTTTGCGACGCGTCTCCCAAGCAGATGCATCACGTCAAGATTTCTAATTTCCACTTGTACGGATACCTTATCTGTACGTTCGAACTCATATCCCACCACCTCATCATCGTCCCCTCCGCAGATCATCAGTCGAGCTCCTCCGCACCGCAGCCAATATGTCCGACTTCGAAGACGAGATGGACGTCGACGTCCCCGTGTCCAAAGACATCACCTTCTCCTCAGACGCCAAGCAGGGCAAGCGCAGCGCCGCCAACCTCCCCGTCGAAGCCGAAGATAGTCTGCCATGGGTTGAAAAGTACCGCCCGGTAAGCCTCAACGATGTGTCCGGACACCAGGATATTCTCGCCACCATCAACAAGTTTGTCGACTCGAATCGTCTCCCTCACCTCCTCCTCTATGGGCCCCCGGGAACTGGCAAGACCTCGACGATCCTCGCCCTCGCGCGCCGCATCTATGGCGCCGAGAACATGCGGCAGATGGTTCTCGAGCTCAACGCTTCAGATGATCGCGGCATCGATGTCGTTCGCGAGCAGATCAAGACCTTTGCCTCGACAAAACAAATATTTACCCTCGGTCCCTCGTCCAAATCGGGCAGCGGTGGCAGCATGGCGGCGTACAAGCTCATCATCCTCGACGAGGCCGATGCTATGACGAACACGGCGCAGATGGCGTTGCGTCGCATCATGGAAAAGTACACTGTCAACACGCGCTTCTGCATCATTGCAAACTACTCGCACAAGCTTTCACCGGCACTGCTGTCAAGATGCACGAGGTTTCGATTCAGTCCGTTGAAGGAGCGCGATATTAGGGTCTTGGTGGATAAGGTGATTGAGGAGGAGCACGTCAAAATCATCCCCGACGCCACAGAAGCATTGGTGAAGCTTAGCAAGGGCGACATGAGAAGAGCACTCAATGTGCTTCAGGCCTGTCACGCATCAAGTGAGTACTCGCCCGGTTCTGCACAACGGCCCCAGGGGGGAGCATGCTAACAACGCAGGTACCCCGTTGCAACCCAAAGACGCACCCAAGGTGGCCGAGGCAGACATTGTGAGGGAAACTATCTCCACCGAGACGATATACAACTGCATCGCCGCCCCTCAACCCGACGCCGTGCAGGAGATTCTGGATGTCTTGTTGAGCACAACAGACGTGACATCTTGCCTGACTACTATCAACACCCTAAAGGTGTCACGGGGTCTCGCCCTGGCAGATATTATCACGGCTCTAGCGGAGCAACTGGCGACACTCGAGGTCAAGCCGGAAATCATGATCAAGTGGCTCGACGGGCTGGCGGATATCGAACACCGTGTGGCCGGCGGTGGCAGCGAGACAGTGCAGACGGGAGCTGTAGTGGGCGTCATCAGAAGCGGAGCCGAATTGATGAGCAAATGAATAAGTCGTGGTGCGTACGAGGGTAACCTACGGTCCCTAGATGGATAATTTACGACGTTATGATCATCTAAAGTGGTTGTCCCGATATGTCTTTGCATGATATGCCGAACTGCCATCTTTCAACCGACTTGGGTCAAGCGGCAACACCCAACCCCCACTAGAGCTGTTGTGCTAATTTTGGAATGTGTACAATGGAACAGTGACAATACCGGTACCTCATGCAAAATGCCGGGATGAACCGCGATTTGTCGGTGTGGCTCCTAGGAAGCTCATCAAGGCATGCGATGTCTGGCCATCTCCAGCCACCCGCTGCCGATTCTCTGCCCTTACCTAGGTACCCGTCTTTATATGGCTGTGGCGTACCAGTGGAATGCGCGAGCCAAACTCTGAGTCTGGGTCGTTTGAAAGCAACAGGACTGACTCCTCGTCGACTTCTGGGCCCCGTTTGTTGACTATCATCCCTTCAGTTTTCAAGCTGAGTTCATCTCGGCAAGGTCGGGACAGCGCTAACTAGGCACAAAGGGGTGGTAACTGAGAATCTCTGAGTCGGAATCTGGATATGTACTGTAATATGAACAACGAAAGGCTTTCTATTGCGAGCGCTCGCTCTGACCGTTGGACTCCATCGGCCTCCCAAACCAGGGCCATTGAAGAAGTAGACGTATTTTCCAAATAAACGCCAAAGTCGTCTCGAAACCCAAGTCTTGCCTCGCCTGTCACGTCATGATGGTGATATACACACACTACAAGAAAAGAAATGCACACATGCCTGTGGTTCTATACAGATGCCAGACCGATGAACGCCTGGCTGATTTGGCTTCCATGGGAGGCGTTTTGTTTCCTCCCTGGCAAGAAAATCCGAGTCAAGGGGATTCCAGAGGAGGGGGGGTGTTTTCCCCACCATGTCCAAGAATCCCGTATCCAAGTCCTTGGCGTACTGAGACATGGGATAAGGCCCCACGTGAAACATACGTCACGTCTCAAAGCCTTGGATGGCAGCCGTGCTTGCATTGAAGCAGGCCCTCGGCGCGCTGGTCTTTCGTGGCGACGTGAATGTCTCGTGCCGACTCTAAGTCAGTGGTGACTGGTGCGTTTTCACCTCAGACATCGGGCCACTTCACTGGGCCGCACTCGCCCTGCTGCTCAATCCAGGCGTTGATCTTCTCTACAGCCCAGCCGGACATGGTGCGCTTCTCGTCCGTGGACTCGCGCTTGACCGGGTGGCCAAGCTTCCATGCCCAACTGAAGCCGCAGACGCCGTCCTTGTACTGGAATGAGAAGCAGGACCTGTCGGCCTCGCAGGCCTTGCGGCAATTGCCAAAGGACAAGTGTGCAACCTTCTCCTCTTCTGTCAAGTCTTCTTTCTTGGCTCGATTGAGTTGCCAGTCTTGATGCTTGTTGGCGGATTCGTCGAGGAAAAATCGGTCATCGGCTAGATTGTCCCAATCGGCGCGCTCAGGCTGCATACGAGGCGCAAAGAATTCGTGATAGATATCCTTGATGCGCATGACTGGAGGCGGCTGGGGAAGGCTAGGGTCAGAGTAGCGCTTGTGCTCGTATTCCCAGAAAGTGGAGATCTCCTCGGCATTCATGTGATGCATCGTCACGATGGGGTGGCACCAGTGAGTAGGCCCATATGGCAGAGTAAAAGGCTTTTCGCCGTTGATCGTAGGCCACTGGGAAATGGTCAGTTCAAGCTGTGTATAAAAACAGAGATGGCATGATGATTACTCACCACATTATGGACGTTCACGTCGGCATTGTCCTTCATAGCTAGCGCAAAGATGTAGTCTCCGCAGCATTCTTTGCTCGCGCGAACATCCCACTTGTTGCCAACATCTTCATGGTCAGCAATCATGTCGTGCATAGCCGCCTGAGAGACGATGTAGCCGCTGCCACCATGGCCAAAGACGAAGTTGCGAATCATGGTGACACTACCGAGATAGTGCTTATTCTTGGGGTTGAGGTTCTTGAGCCACTGGACAAGCGTGGGCCAGAGCACGTAGGTATCGGCGTCGATGTAAATATACCAGTCGTAGTTGGGACGCATGCGGTACGTCTTCTCGGCGATGTGGACGTTTTTGTACTTGTCGAGATTCCAGCCCTCATCCTTGCTTACAGCCAGCTTGTTGCAGCTCTGCTGATCGGCCTGGCAAGCCTTTTGGCGGCGGTAGAGATCAAAGTCCTGGTTACCTTCCATGGCCTCGGGAAGAACCTTGTCAAGACTGTCCCGAATGTGGTAGTTTGCAACGGTCTGGTCGAGGTCGGAGAAGATGAAGTACTCGGGCAAGCACTTGAGCATGGTCATGAGTTGCGTAGGGACCTTGTCGAAGGACTCGGTGGCGCCCGTCTTCATGATGACGAGGATATTGCTCGTGTCGGGGAAGGTGTCGCAGATGGGGTCGTGAGGACGGTAGGGAATGTCTTGATTCGACACATTGTGCTGGGCGAGGCGGTCGTCTTGGTAGCTCGGGGGCGGCGGAGGAGGCGGAGGACGGCCATCGGGACCTGCACTGGGGGAGCTGCCGGCAGGCGGAGGTGGGCTGTGGCCTTTGAAGGGGTGGTAGTTGGGGCCTTCTATCGCCCAATCGCCGCCGAGTCTCCTCGACGAAATGAGAAAGATGACTGCGGTGACAGAGACGAGGGCGAGAACGGTGAGGGCGCGACGGGATAACATGTTGATGGCAGCAATAGGG